CATCAATACAACGAACGATCAGATGAGGCTGCTCAAGTGTTCCAAGTAGACTTAGACTGGGAACATGAGGGTGAGCTCTTTCTGGCTCAATGGGCCCATGATGCTTCAGGTCATCAGGGCAGAGATGCAACATACAAATGGGCTCATGACTGAGGGGTGACCATGGACACTATTGTACAGGTGATTCACAAATGTGAGACATGTGCTGCAATTAAGCAGGCTAAACAGTTGAAACCTTTGTGGTATAAGGGGAGGTGGTCACAGTACAGGTCTGGGGAGGCCTGGCAAATTGACTACATCACACTGCCTCAGAGCTGCCAGGGTAAGCACTGTGTGTTTACAATGGTGGAAACAAGTACAGGATGGTTGGAAACATATCTGGTGCCTCATGCCACAGCCAGGAATACTATCCTGGACCTTGAGAAGCAAATCTTGTAGAAACATGATACTCCAGAGGGAACTGAGTTGGACAATGGGACTCATTTCAAAACCAGTCTTGTCACTGACTGGGCTGAAGAGCATGGTATTGAGTGGATATCCCGTACTATGCACAAGCCTCAGGGAAAGCTGAAACGTATAATGGTTTGTTGAAAGCTTCCCTGAAGGCAATGGGAACTTTCAAAAATTGGGACAAAAATTTGGCCAAGGCCACCTGGTTAGTTAATACCAAGGGATCCATCAGTTGGGCTGGTCCTGCTCAGTCAGACCTTTTACATCCTGCAGATGGGGATAAAGTCCCCGTGGTCTGTGAAAGAAACTTGCTGGGTAAAAGTGGGTCTATCCTGCTTCAGGCAAAGGTAAACCTGTCCGGGGTGTTGCTTTTGCTCAGGGACCTGGATATACCTGGTGTGTGATGATGGAGGATGGTGAAGTGCAATGTGTACCTCAAGGTAATCTGACTCTGGGGGAGAGTCCTTAATTAGACAGGTGGTAAAATATAGAGCCCATATGTAATATATGGTATGGAATAAGGGGTGGAATGTCCTGGTTTGAGCCAGAATTAAGCCAATTTTCCTTTTACTGAATTTTTTTTCCTTCAGTGAGCTTTCTTTTAACTATCAACACTCTGTTCTATCTAAGGCTGATAAGACAGTGGAATGTTTTTCTAACTGCTGGGTCTTCAAGGTTGCACCTTCACTCTGCTGGCTCAGACGCTATGGGGAGATCTATAACCCCCCTGTAGGTGGATGACAGCAAAACTGGCCAGAGAGATTCCAATTCATGTATCTACGTAAGCTCAGAGGAAGGTCAGAGATCACAGAAGACAACTTCCTTCCTTCTTCTTGCCTTTTCTTCTGTCCATGGCTGGCGTCCAGGGAGGACTCCGTCCATCCATCACCGTCGACCCCCAGGCTCGAGCTCACCCTCATCACTCTCTGTTCTTCTCCAGCATCTCTGGAATTTCTCGGGACTGTTCCAGCTCAGGAGAGTGTTGCGGGAGTTGCTGGGCATGGGGGAGGCAGTAGGGTTTTTGCACATATCTGAACATACTTGTGTGTAATTGTGTATATTTTCTTATATCATTAGTGTTTAATTGAAGCTGTGTAGTTTAATTTTCAATCCAGCCAAGTCTCTCTCTTTTTCTCCCTCTCCTTCCCTGCCTGGGTGGGAGGGGGAGGGGATCGAGAGCATTGTCAAACCCGAGTCAAACGGTGACACCTTCAAAGCTCTCGTTTGAATATTTGCTACTACCACCAAGATCTGCACCTGCGGCGGCTCCACCCGGGCCCACGCCCCAGGCTTCGAGGCTCACCGCAGCGGCCCTCCTACTCGTCGCGGCCTAGCCCCCGCGGGCCTCGCACTGCCGGCGACGGCCGGGTATG